GGGATGGGCACAGGGAGGACGAGGCAGCAGCCGGATGGTGGGATCGATGCTCCAACTGATACAGGCCGGGGTGCACATCGCCCTGTCCAGGCCATGGTGTCCATGGAGGGTGGCACAGATCATAGAATCATAGAATCATAGAACGGTTTGGGTTGGAAAGGACCTTAAGATCATCCAGTTCTAACCCCCTGCCATGGGCAGGGATGCCTCACACTAGACCAGGTTGCCCAAAGCTCTGTCTTGAACACTGCCAGGGATGGAGTATTTACTAGTTCTCTGGGCACCCTGTGCCAGCTCCTCACCACCCTCACAGTAAAGAGCTTCTTCCTTACATCTAACCTGATCTCCCCGTGTTTAAACCCGTTTCCCCTTGTCCTATAGCTCCAGTCCCTGATGAAGAGACCCTCTTCAGCATCCTTGTAGGTCCCCTCCAGTTACTGGAGGGCTGCTCTGAGGTCTCCACACAGATCCTCCTCCCCAGGGAGTGAGGACCAGCAGTGAGACCCCAGCCTTCGGGAAGTTTAGATTGGATATAAGGAGGAAGTTCTTTACTGTGAGGGTGCTGAGGCACTGGAATGGGTTGCCCAGGGAGGTTGTGAATGCTCCATCCCTGGCAGTGTTCAAGGCCAGGTTGGACAGAGCCTTGGGTGCCGTGGTTTAGTGTGGGGTGTCCCTGCCCATGGCAGGGGGTTGGAACTGGATGATCTTAAGGTCCTTTCCAACCCTAACTAGTCTATGATTCTATGCTGGTACACTTCCAGCCCCTTCCAATGGGTGTGCAAACAGCAGAGCAAGCAGCACTGCAAAGCTCCACGCAGGAGACCAGAATCACACCGAGAGATGTCTGTGACTCCCCACCACGTGCCAGCTGTGCAGAAAACCTGTCCTTTCGCCTCTATTTTGTTCCCTTTATTACCCAACAGCACGAGAATTCAGAAAACTCAGGAAATTAAAGTGAGGTCGACATCACAGAAAGCCCTGCCTGAGGATCTCCACTCTGCTGCTCCAGGCACCAGTCTCTGCAACCAGGTTGCTGATGCAGAGGATAATTTAGCTACACTTAATTAAAAGGGGGACAGGTAGGGGACTTGCAGTGATTTATGCCGTGGGCTCAAGCCTCCCCCCTCCTTCTTTCTGGTACTGGGAAAAAGAGTGGCAGGAATTTGCATTTCATGGGGAAATTTGCTCAGTTTTCCCCCTAGAAACACTGGGAAGGTTGAAATGGGGCCACCTGCGTGAGTTGAACTGATTCAACAAGGAGTAAGGGGATGCTGCATGTTGTGTCTTCACAGCTCTGTGACAAGGAGGGAGAATCTGTTCTTCAAGGCTCCCTTTAGCCAAAATACTGATTAGGCCACTGCAGTTCACAGAAACCCCAGATAAAGCAGGCTGGAGAAGCCCGTTTCCTTACGTGTACCTTAGATTTCATCCCCTTTTGCTCACCAGTGTCAGTGTTTTACCTCCTCTGTCATCATCCGGTCTCCCAGCCTAAACAAGGGCTGAAATGCAAACGCAAGCATCCAGTCGGGGAGGGAACAGATGAAGAGCTCAGACCATCTGCTCAGTGATAGCAGGACCAAGCAGGATGGCAGCCAAGGCCAGTTTGTTCCCTCTGCAGCTTGTCTCCAGCGAGCCCTTCACCTGCCTCTCCAGGCTGGGTTCTCCCTCCATCCTTCCCTTCCAGTCTCACCCTGGCAATGCAGCATCCAGAAGCCACCAGGATGGTCTCTCCTGAGGTTTTTCAGCACAAGAGGCTGCAAGTTTTCCATCTGCATCCGTGTCCATGCCATTGTCTTTTATCCCATTGCCAGATCACTTTAAGGATTAATTCTCTGTCTTCCCTTTTGCTCTTTCTGCTTCCCTGGTTTCTTCCTCCACATCCATCCTACCAGCACGCAGTGGCATTGCCCTTCTGTGTGAGCTTCTATTCACTCTTAAAGCATTACCTTCTATGCATTATCTTGAGGGTAAAAACACTCCTTTGGAGGGTAAGTGCTTAAGAGTTGAACAGACAAACGTGGCCAGGAAATACAGGACCAAGGCATGCATCCTTGAGGGCAGCTACAAGCCACCATGGGCTTGACTGGTGATCAAGGCACGTTACAGGGGGGGAGATTCAGCTTTAAGCCTCCAATATCACTGGAAACGATGCTTTGCATGCCAACAGGGTGGCTCTGCCACAGGTTTGGGTCTATGGCCTGTGGCAGTGAGAGGGCTGAGGGTCTGTGGAGGAGCTTTATGTGATGGGAAGCCCAGCCTCAGGTCACCATCACTGTATCTGAAGGTTTAATGCAGCATCTTCTGTGCCTGGTCCCTGAGCACCAGACACTTTCCCCATTGAGTACCCCCACCAAAGCTTTGACATCAATTTGACTAGGCAGGGTGCTGGGACACCTAGACCAGGTCATGAGTTGCCTAGAAAGGTTGGACCAAGTGATCCTTGAAGTCCCTTCCAACCTGATATTCTATGATCTCTCCAGCTGCAGAAGATGCATTATAGTGATGCCCCATCCCCTTGTAGTCAGTGATTCCCAGTGCCCAGAGGTGCCTTTCCTGACACCTTCCCAAGCACAGCAGTGGCCAGGGTTTGTTAGCAGCCAGGTACCTACTACGTGTGACCCTCTGCCCACAAGCATCCTGCTGCAGTGCCTGTGTGAGCATCCTGCTCCTTCGGTGCAGCACTGGCTGCAGCCACAGCACTGGGAAAGTGCCCAATTGCTGGCACATGGAATCAGAGGTTCCTGGCTGAAACAGGTCACATCTCCTGAAGGAATTGTTCCAGGGTCTCTATGGATTCAGGAAAGCATCACTTTTCTGGCCCACTGTTGGTTTCCCAAGTTCACAGAACCCCAGCCTGGTTTGGGTTGGAAGAGACCTTAAAGCTCACCCAGCTCCAACCCCTGCCACGGGCAGGGACCCCTTCCACTGGAGCAGCTTGCTCCAAGCCCCTGTGTCCAACCTGGCCTTGAGCACTGCCAGGGATGGGGCAGCCACAGCTTCTCTGGGCACCCTGTGCCAGCGCCTCAGCACCCTCACAGGGAAGAGCTTCTGCCTAAGAGCTCAGCTCAGTCTCCCCTCGGGCAGGTTCAAGCCATTCCCCTTGCCCTGTCCCTACAGGCCCTTGTCCCAAGCCCCTCTCAGGTACCAGGGCTGGCACCATCCCAGCTGCTCTGCGGAGGGATGCTGGTGCTGACGCATCCCTCCACACCTCTCCTGGAGCAGGCTGCAGCACCCGGCGAGGAGAAGTTGAGCCCTAAAGATTTAACAAGAGCACTGGGTTCCATAAGGGGAGCTTTACACTCAGTGCTGCTCAGCCAGCCCGCACAGCTCTCCGCTGCCTTCACACGCTTGCCGGGTAACCGGGCCCTGCTCTCCACGGTGAACAAAAGCCATAAATCATCATCCAGGCTGCAGGCACCCGCCCCTCCACAGCCCTGCACTGCAGCCTCATGCTGTTAGCCCTGATGAGCTGCACACACACACAGAGACCACCCCATGGACCTGCCCCAAGTGCTCCTGGGGGTTAATGGGGCAATATTGGACAGTCCCCGCTCCAAACCAGCATCTTGCATCATCACATGCAAGTCAGGACGGAGAGCTCCCTGCAGGCTGTCATAGAATCATAGAATCAGCCAGGTTGGAAAACACCTTTAGGATCATCAATTGCATTCCTCAGCACTGCCAAGGCCACCACTGCCCCATGGCACTGAGGGTGTGTGAACACTTGCAGGGCCGGTGCCTGCAGCCCTGCCCTGGGCAGCCTGTTCCAATGCCTGAGCACCCTCTGGGGCAGGAATTGTTCCTCAGCTCCATCTAACCCTGCCCTGGTGCAGCTTGAGGCCGGTTCCTCTTGTCCCATCCCTTGTTCCTTGGGAGCAGAGCCCAGCCCCTCCTGGCTCCATCCTCCTGTCAGGCAGTTGGAGGCAGCCATCAGGTCCCCCCTGAGCCTTCTCTTCTCCATCTGAACCCCCCAGGTCCCTCAGCCCTTCCCCATCACCCCTGTGCTCCAGGCCCTGCACCAGCTCCATTCCCTTCTCTGGCCCCGCTCCGGCACCTCAATGTCTCTCCTGTAGTGAGGGGCCCAGAGATGAACACAGGATTCGAGGTGCAGCCTCACCAGTGCCCAGTGCAGGGGCACAATCCCTGCCACTGGTGCTGATCCAGGCCAGGATGCTAGTGGCAGGCACTGTGTGATCCAGCACAAACACCACAGACCCCTCGTAGACCCAGAGAGATGCAAGAGCCTCGAGGGGACTGCAGCCTGTCCCCAACTTGGCACCAGCTTTGCTCCCTGCTGTCCTCAGCTAATCTTACCCCTACCAGCAAGCACCCTGTTGCTCCCCAGCATCCCCAAGCCCCCCCAACACGCTGTCTGCTCCTGCAAACGCACCCACCGCGGGGTTCACTTCGAAAGGAACCCCCTTGTCCCAGTGCTGAGCTGCGGGGTGGGAGCATTGATGGAGGTTCCTTCACTCCCATGGGGCCCCAGGGATCCGGAGGAGCCCAAGCCTGATCAGCGGGTGTCAGTTTGTGTCCTTGGGGCTCTGGCGGGGAAGGGATCAGCTGCAGTAATTGAGGCAGGAGGAATGAGAGGTATGAGATGCAGGGAGGGAGGGGGGGGATAAACCCACGGTGATTTCCCAAACGCAGCCTCCTCCCGAGCCCACCCCAAGCCTCCGAGAGCCCAGGAAGAGCCTCCCAAGAACAAGCAGCCCTTTGAGAAACCTAAACCACTTTCTCCGACACCTCTGAACCCCGTCGGGAGCATCCTTCGTCACAGAGCTGCCAGTGCCAAGCGGTTTCCCCTCGGGGGCAAATCTCCCCGGTGCTGTCAGGAGCAGAAGGCACCCGGGTTCACGTTGCTGCTTAAGGTGAATGCGTGGTGTGGTTTAGAGACTCATTGTGAAACTGCAGGCTGCTCCAGAGGCAAAGGAGAAGCGTTTTATTGTGAGCAGAATTAATCATACCTGGGGCAGTACCGATGTCAGCAAAAAAACAATGCAGAGAGGGTTTCTCAGGAAGATTGCTTGACATGAATAGGAAGGGTGGTTTTTTTCAGGTCTTTTTAGATAGGAATGACAGGTTTTCGGTGGCTGCTGTGACCTCTGGTTTTGCCCTGGCTTTCCAGATCTAAGAGGAGGATGTCTGTGCTGAATCTGCCAAGCCATAAGGCGAAGCAAAGTCTTGTTCAAGACATGGAAACTCCCCACGTCAAGGCGTCTGCTGTAGCACTATTTCATGACACGTCCTGTGTAGTTTATGGCAGAGATTAAACAATACAAAGGATAAAACATTTCAAAAATGGTATTTAACTGGGAAAACAAGAACAGACTAGACTCCAACCCTCCACTTGTGCAATGCCGAGCTGTTGAGCTCTCACTCCTGCTCAAGGAAATACCTCTGGCTGCTGTTTGCATATGTGCAACCCAGCATTTCGTCACACCTTTTTGTTTGTTGCGGAGAGAATCCCCTAGGTAACGTGGCCACCTCCTTTTCCTCCCTTTGTGCCTTTTTCTCTGCCTGGGACTCGTTACCCTGGTCCCAGGGGATGTGCTTTCCCATGGCTGTTTCCCATTTGAGACTACCTATGTGTGCACTGAGGAGTGGAGAAAGAGCAGGACCCAGTCTTCTGCTTCAGTGTAGCCTTTCCCTGTGTTTTAAGGAGACATTGGTTTAAAATACACAGAGCACAGGTTTATATCCTAACTTTGGGCTTGCCTCCATCACCCAGGTCCACTATGTAAGGCAGAGAGCACAGTGGCAAGGCTGAGTTGTAGCAGAAGGGATGCAGCATCTTCCTGGCAGCTCTGGGACTGTTGATGCAGTCAGAAAGAGAAAGAAGGAATGCTGGTAAGTGCAAGGATACAGCTTAAAAACCAAGAAAGTCTGAAGTGTGTTGTGTGAAAACAAGCTACATATGTGGAAGGTGAGGATTAAAAGGGAGAGGATGAAGGCAATGCTGAATGAGGCTGTATGTAGAAATAGTAGAAGGATGTTTCCTAATGTGGGATATCATCTATTTGGTGATAGATTCCCAAAGTCTGCCTTCAAAACTCCCCTCACAGCTCCACTTAGGTTCAGGTGGACAGCAACTTGGAGCTGAGAACAAGAGACCCTCATCTTCTCCATGCCTTCCTCACCTGTGTCTCCACACATATCCAGCAGCAGGGTTACTCTGCACATAGGCTTGTCCTCAGCAAATGAAAGGCAATAACAGAGCAAAAAGAGAATGAAGGTGTAGATAAGAGCAATGCCAGGACACGTTAGGGACTCAAGACTCCCTCAGAGATGTGCCTGGACCAGCAGGTGAAGGTGGTGAACATTGCATGGTGATGAAGTTGTATTTCCTCCTCCAGGTTTTCTTACCAAGCATCATTTTTGCCTTTTAGGAAGCTCTGTGTGCTTGGGATGGAGGTACCAAAGTCAGCCCAAACTACAGAGGAGATACGATCATGAGAAGTCTGGCCTTTCCCTATTTATTACCCCTACTTGCCACATCCGGATGACGTGGGGCATGACACAAGTTCATGGTGATGTCGTTTACCTGCACGTGCTCCCATACCAGCACCGATGACATCAGCCCTGGGATTTGCACAGGGGACCCACTACCAGGAAATGACTTCTCTTTAAACACGAGGAAAGATCGGTGCAGCCTTTGTAGCTTCTGGTCCAACAAGCCTGTAATAGTCACAGGAATGAGACTCAGATTTCTAATTATTGGCTGAGTTATTTGTAGCTTCATATATTTTAAGGCCAGAAGGGACCATCATCTAGTCTGGCCTCTTTAAATGGAAAGCTCCATACCCACCAACCAATTCCCCGAGCTTCGTTACAGTAATGAGCTCAGGAGTCTCGTCTCCAGCTCTAACTGCTGGACCCCGCCATGCCAAACACAGCTGCTCAGATCTGCCTCCAGCTCCAAAGGGAAGCCTAAGAGTTCCTCTTGAATAGGTAATAAATCAAATACCAACGTCCATGGCGATGGGGAAGGGTGACGCACGCTTCCTCAGCCTGCCATCTCCCATCCTGGGTGCCTTGCCCAGGAGCAAGCACCAGCAAGAGTGTGCATCCAGCCAGTAGGATGGGATGGAGGGAGTCACTTTGTATGATGGAGTTTCCCCCATGGGTGCGTTATGTTGGGGAAGGGAGAGGGAACCACTGACCCATACCTGGTCTCACATCCTGGCCAGTGCATCCCACCCTGCTCCAGGCATGGAGCTGGGATCACTGCAAGGCGTTGTGGTGCTGGTAACCAGAGACACAGTGGGGCTGTGCCACTGATCTGGCACAGGCTCTTTAGATCAGATGGCATCAGGACCAATGCAGCAACTGCTCTCCTCCATGCCATGTGTCAGGGGCAGATGCTGAGAGCCCACCTCCCAGCACAGGCTGCACTAACACCTACACCCTTCATAGGGCGAGGGAAGGTGGCTTCCGACCGCTGCCACCGAGGCTGGGAGGGACAGCCCAGCTTCATAGGAAACCACTGGTACTGTGCTAGGGCAGGAAGAGCTCCCTGAACTAGGACATGGTCAGGACAAGGGCTGGGACCTGTTGGGATGAGCCTTGCCCTGGGACACCTCCCCAGGCAGCAGGAGCTCAGAGAGCAGGTTGGACATGAGATGGAGAGGGGCCCTGGGACAGGAGAAGTCTTGGGGCAGATACCCAGGAGCAGGGCAGCCCCATACCCACACCGTTAGGGTGCTCCAGGGGCCATGATCCAACTGCAGAAACTGATGTTCACACTAGAGAGGGAAAGCTTGATGCACAGGACACTAACAGTCGTGTTAGACTGTGGTTCACACCTTCTTCCACCCCTCTTACCACTACAGCACTTTGCTTTTTCAGAGGCTCAAGGGAGCACCTCTGGTTCCCATTCAAGCCTCCACTTTGTATGATGAAACAAGTGTCACTGTAATGACTTACAGCCACCAGCAGCAACCACAGCTATGGGCAGATGGATGGGATGGAATGGGATGGGATGGGATGGGATGGGATGGGATGGGATGGGATGGGATGGGGCACACACAGCTTCATGGAAACTGAAGGCCACTCACCTCATAACCAGTTCACGGAGGAAGAAGCAAGAAGGAGGTGCTCCAAGTGCTTGGTCAGGATGCTAACAACAGCCTGTGTCTGCATTAGAACAGCTGGAAAGAGGCAGAGAAGCACAAGCCATCAAAACCAGAGCTCTGGACATGTTCCCTGGAGGCAGCGATAAGCAGAATCAGCAGAAGAGCACTCATCCCATCAATCAGCGAGGCTTCACCAGGCACCATGGGCATTTCCCACACACTCACCCCTGTGAGTCACTGCCCTGGGGTCTACCTGGTGGGATGAGCTGGCTGCTGGTGACCCAAGTTGCTTACTTGCATTGTCAGGGCTACCACCCATCCTTCCCCGCTGCCATGGTGTTTGTGGTGGTAACAGAGGCAGCTCAAGACTTCTCTTTCCTGCAGGCAAGAGGCAGTTTACCGGGTTCTGGGGAGAAGAAGGGCAGGGTTTAAGGTGTGGCAGAAAAAGCATGGGAGCTCTGCTTACCCATGCCTTCAATTGGTCCCGCCAGCACCCTCTGTGCCCTTGGATGTGCCCATCACCTCTCTAGGTGCCAAGCACAGAGACGGGGCGTGCCAGATGCGTTGGCATGAAGGTACAGTGAGAGACCTGCTGCTCATCCCATACCTTCTGCTGCTCAGGATGACTCAGCTCCTACCACAGGAGCCTGAACAGGCAGACTTGTGTGGTGTGCAGAACCCTGCAAAACCCAGGCCAGTCCCTTCAGGGCCCAGTAAGGAGCATCCCTATAGGCAGGGTTTCAGGGTGGAGATGGGAGATCCAGGCAGGCAGGGCTGTCTCCAGCCTCAGAGGCTGACAGACCACATTACAAGGGATGGAAGGTCTGTAGCACCCCTTATCCACTCATCCAAGTATGAATGGGCAGGGGTAGGAGTCTGATAACTGTGCAAAGTGTAAAGTCCTGCTGTTCTCTGCAGCACTGTGTAAAACTCAGGGGAGGAGGGTAATTGGGGGGGCAAGACAGCAGATCTAAGCCTCTGTGTGCTCTCTGTTACCTAAGGAAACCATCCTACCTCCATCATCTGGGGGACCACAAGCCTTGTTGTTACAAGAGGAAGATGCAGTGTAAGATGAGGGATGCAGCAGAGATGCACAGAGGTACACAAAAGGTCCAGCTCATGGAGCCCTGATGAACAAGTGCAGTGTGGCCCTACACTGGTCCTGCCAGGCACTGTCTCACTGGTCTTTATGCTCAGTTGCTGCTTTCTGTAGCAGGGAACATCGAAATGTGGAAACTGAGGCTCAGTGGCATGTAAGGCTGGATTGTGAGGGCATCACTTTGCACCAGCATCCTTGATGAGCCTCGCTGTCCTCCCATGAGTGTTCAGCCAAGGCTCAGCCAGATGAGCTCTCTCTGTTTGAAGGGAAGGCTCATCCAAGACCCTTGCCCATGGCCTTGAGCCCAAGAACATGCAACAAGCTGGGTAAAATGGTGGAGAGAGGAGCACAGGGAGCTTTGCACCCTGGCACACATGAAGCATGGCTGGACCTTCTCCTGCGAGGTACAACAAACCATACCCCATGGTGTCTGCTTCTCCCTATGGCTACACAGAGACCTCAGTCCCAACCAGGGTTTGCTGCCCAGCAGCAGGATGAGCAGGGCAGTGAGCAGAGCCGGTCATGCCTGGTGTGAGAGCCAGGATGGTGGGGAAGGAGCTGCCTCCTCCACCCTGAGCACACACAAAGGGTGAGCAGTCACCTAATTGCCTACCCATGGGAAAGAGGAGACTTGCTCTCTGGAGACGGAGGGGCAGGCAGCCTGAGTGACTTATTGCAGGCTCCTGGGGTGATAAATCGTGGGTAATTGTGGGCAGGTGACAAAGGCACACTGAGGGAAAGGGAGCGGGGACATTCACTGCCCTTGGCAGCTGCTGCCAAGCCCGGCCCCCTCCTGTCACTGCTCCTTTCAACCCCTGTGAATTGTGCAGCGCTTTCCAAACCTGAGGGATCCCCTTCTCAAGGCTCCTCTCCCCCTCCTGCCCCCTTGCTTCCTGCTCCCTCCCTTGCTGCCTGCTCTCCTTTCTCAGTCCAGGGGGGTGACTGCCAGCCATGGGACAGCCCTATGATGCCTTAGCATCCAGAGGATGCTTCACATCCCCCTGAGACACGTGTCCTCTCCAGGTCCTGCTTCCAGCCCTGATGCAGGGGACTCCATGAGCACAAGGACCAGTGCCATGTTCTGGCTCTCTACCTTCAGGATCCCATTGAAGGAAGCACCAGGTAGGGCATCCCTGGGGTAGCTCCGATTCAGGCCCAAGATAAGGGACAAGGCTCCTTTGATGCACACCTTACTCTGGTGTCAGGTTGAGTTGAAAGGCTAAGTTGAAAACAGTCTGTGAGGGGAGAATGTAAGGGTTAAGCAAGCAGTGAAAGAGCCAGGAGGTAGCAGGTACCCACCAGTCCCCATTGCACCCTACAGGAATGATTGGGATGCTTGGCCTTATCCCACATCTCTGGTATCTCTTTCATCCTTGCTTCATGCATGTGAGCTAGAAAACTAGGCACTAACAGGGGAAACACCAGCAGCAGTTTTCCTTTCATTGCCAAGCCTTGGCTTTGTGAAGAGCCCTCTGGGACTAACCAGATCAGAGCCTGGAAGAAAGCATCCCATAGATGGAACAGGGAGTGTGATGATCATTAGGACAACATCAAGCAATGTTCCTGCAAGAGCCCAGTGCTCCTCTGGGGTCTGCAGTCCTGGATACGTTTGTGACTGGCTCTTTGAACAGGTTGCATGGGTCAACCAGGGCAGATACTTCATACCCAACCCACTCCAGGCTGCTTTCGTGGACATGTCTCTATATATCCATGAGGGGTGTCCTCAGTTTCTCTGTGCTGTGTTTGAAGTCAATACTCTGCATTTCTCCACTTCTCACTTCCCCTTGGGCAGCATCACTCACACTTACCTGCATCTTCCTTCACAGCTTGTCACAAGATGATACCCACCCTGGAAAAGCAGTTTGAAACCAAGTCCTAGCAGGCAGCTGAAACTTAGCAGGAGATAAGCTATGCAAAAGAGCTAAATTAACTCTTCCCTTCACTCTACAGGGGCCGCTCTGCCCCACACACCCATCATCCACCCTCAGCCACTGACCATTTGAACTCAGTCAATAGTCTGATAGCAATTAGTTGGAGAGAAGCAGCTGGCAAACATCAACTGCTTGTAAGCATGCACCAACTGGATTTATCACATACTTGGAAATTATGAGTATTTGCCTGTAAATTCACCATTTCCATTTCACTCAGCCACAAATGCCCCAAAGTTAAAAGCCCGTATCTAAGTACATCTCTCAGCTCCTTTTATAGATGGTGGTGACGTCTGTTTAGGGATGAGCTGCATCACCCTATGGAGGGCTATATTCCTTGCTTCTGACTTGCAGAAGTCGGTGGTGCAGGCCTGGAGGCACCAAACTGTGCTGTGAAAAGCAAGCACTCACTGGGTGATGGAGCTTTTCCCCAAGGCTTTTCCAACCAGATTTCAACTTTCAAGAGATGCTTGCAAGAGGCTGGATATAGACACATCTCTGGGAGATCAGACCTGCATCCAGGTTTAACCCAACGCACTGAACCCTGGGGTACAGCACTAGTTACTGGCCTCCAAGCAGGCTTCCTTCCACTCATCACCACCTGTGAGCCTGGCCATTCAGCCCATTTGCAATCCACCTCCCTTTCTGCTCATCCAGCCCATACATCCACAGCTTGCCCTGTGGGAGATAGAGGCAAAGGCCTTACTGAAGTGCAGGAGGACAATGTCCACTGCTCTCCCTTCATCTACTAGGCCAGTCTTTTCATGGTGGAAGTTTATCACGTTGAGCAAGCATGACTTCAGCATGGTGAAGCCATCCACACTACTCCTGATGATTTTCCTAACCACCACATGCCTGATCTTTGGCCAGGTCCATCTTATTGAGCAACTAACCCACTTTACATAGTGCTCTTTCTGTCACCTACATACTTACAGAAGCCCATTTTGTTGTCTTTGACATCCCCAGCCACATTCAGTTCCATCCATCAGCTTTCCTAACTTCAACCCTGCATGCTCAGACAATGTTTCTATATTCCTCATAGTTATTCATCCTTACTTTAACATTCTGTATGCTTCCTTTTTGTGTTTGAGTTTGGTTAGGAGCTCTTTGCTCCTCCATGCAGACCTCCTGGCAATTTTGCCTGACTTAGTATTTGTTGGGATAGAAGTCTCTTGAGCTCACAAAAGAAACTCAAAGAAACTTACCCATCACAAGTATTTATTAGTCCTCATGTCTCTATATATTCAGGACAATTTCCTTCCAAGGCTGGATGTGATTGAATCAAGCAAAGATGAGATTTAAGCCTGCCCAAGCTAACATGATGCAGGTAAGACAACATGTGGCAACAGGAGCTGAGCCATCTTCCAATGCAGCTCAATGCCTTCCAGGAGAAAGCCTCCCCACATGAAGGTGTCTCTGTGCACCACTCAAAAGCTGCATGGGCAACTGCAAAACAAGATGGGAAGACATCTATGTGATCAAAAATGACCAAATCTGAACTCAAGATGAAATGGATGAGCTTACATATGAGCAGCGCCCAAATCTGTGCAGTTGACTTAGGGTACCTCCAATAATCTGGGCATGATTGAGCTCATGATAGATGCATGACCTTGCAGTACATCTGCAAGATTCTCAATGAACCCAAAATGATGAGTCCATTAGGGAGCCCTCTGACTTGGGCATCTCTATGATTATGCAGCAGTGTTGCCTATGGGCATGCTTATCTGCCCAGATATATTGGAGCTCACCAGGAACAATATGAGTGCTATTGCAAGGCAGAAACCCAGTGTATGCTCAGACAGTTTCAAGGTGCTGAAGCTTCATTAAAATACCAGCTCAGATTTAAGCAGGTACCAGTCTTCTGGGAAGCATCTGATCTCCTTGCTATTTGTTTTGGATAATGATGGACTCCCTCACCACTTTCAATAGCCAGGTAAGGACCTGTCCCAACATTAGACTGTGATGAAAGAGGGGAGCAGTACCTGTCTGATAGGGACACTGTGCACATCCTAATGATGGAGACTCATCAGCACCCCTCAGAAGCAATCAGAGGTCCAAACAACACAGAAACCTAATGAAATGTGACCAGGAGATAGCTCTACTCACATTACTCCCATCACCCTCTGCTCAGAGAAATGGATTCATTAAGGCAAAGGCCCATCTGAAGCTGTTTGGCAGCCCAGGCAAGACGGTATTAACTCATTGCCTTACATCACTTGTGTTGAGTTTCAGCCCAAGCAGGTGCCTCCACACTCCCATTCCAGTAAAGCCACAGCTTTGCCACCCACCCCACACAGCTGCAGGCCCCACTTGGGCCAGCAAAGTCCTGTTCTGAAAGGCCACAGTGTCCCTATGGCACTGCCCTGTCCCTAGGGTGGCGTGGGAGGAGGATCTCAGCTTCCTGCAGCAGCTTGCTGGCCCAAGGCACTGCTGCTCCAAGCACACACTGGGCAGATTGGATGTCGGTGGGACATGCCCTCACCCTGGGCAGGCAAACCAGGCAGGCTGAGCTCGCAGGGAACACTGGGGTTGTCAAGGCTGGTGCTGCGAGCCTTGTCCCATGCTGGTTTGCAGAGGTCCCATCCACTCTCTGTGGGCAAAGAGCAAAAGTGCTGCTGAAGAGATGGGAGTGAGGAGGCTCCAAGCAATGTTTCATGTCAGAGCTCACACTCGTGCCTGCCCTGGAAGGAGCTGCTGGCCTTTCCAGGCTGCTCCTAGGCCTGGCATCAACACCAGCATTGTCCCCTTGGCAAGAGCTCTAATTTGGGCCATTTCACAGGGAGAAAGGAGAGGAGAGGAGATAGAAGAAGAGAGAGAAGAAAAGGAGAGACCCATGGTCTGGTCCCTGCATCCTGCAGATATTATGGACAGGCAGAGCCCTGCTCCTTGCCATCCCTCTCACATCCCACCCGCATCCCTGCCATGTGGCTGCAAACCCACCTTGGCCCTGCAGTGCTTTCTTTCTGGACTGCAGATGCAGGATGAAGCCTCTGTGGCAGAAATGCACTCCCATAGCTCGGCTGTACCTGCAGAGTGGTGGATAACCACCCTGGCCTCTCACGCACAGAGCATCCTTTCACCTCCAGGGATGGGAATTACCATGCATTAGGAAAAGGGACACATCACATCCTTTCCCTCTTCCAAATCTTCCCTTGCTGCCTCTGGTCTGCTGTGACTGCTTGCACAGCTGTAGACGGCCAGGCATCCTCCCTCCTATTGCCACGGTGCTCCAGTCCCAAACCTTCAAGAGCGGGTTAGAAAGGCCTTAGGTGACATGGTCTAGTGTGAGCAGTGGGGTTGGAACTGGCTGATCTTAAGGTCCTTTCCAACCCAACCAGTCTACGGTTCGCTCTATGATTCATCCCAGCCCAGCACCAGGATGCAAGAGCATCCGAGCCCCGCTCCGCAGGCAGCGCTGGGTGCATGTGTGTCCGTCTGCCCCTCTCCTTTGAAAGGAGTTTCCCCAGCCGCCCGCTGCAGCGGTTCTGGTGCATTACGCAGCGTGACAGCACGCAGCTGCGCGCATTGTCCGGCAGCTGTTCCCACATCCCGGCGCTCCAGCAGCGCCACCGGAGCAGCGCGAGGCCATGGGGACAGTGGGACCATGGCTCTGCCACCCAGAGATGGGGACCCAGCCATTGCTGGAGATGTAAATCCAATGGGGTCTGTTCTTCTTTCACCTTCAGCATCTCAACACTTCCCAGAGGTGCAATAGGTGACATGGTAGAAACCTGCCCCTTGTGCCGTGTTCCCACCATGATCCCAGGGCAAGGTCCCAGGCGGGACAGTCACAAACCCCTCACCCCATCTGGCACCTCAAAACCACCCCAGGCCTTCCTGATGAGGATGGAAGGAGCGTGGCAGTGCTCACCATCCCCTCCTGCTTGTAGGCATCACGAGATGGTTCACTGGTACCCTCCGTCGTGTGTGGCATCAGCCCAGCACTGCGGGCACTCGGTGTGGGATCGGCAGCGCACAGTAGCACTGCACGGGGGGCCTGGGGTGGGATGGAGCTGGCCGGAGGAGGAGGCACAGTGCATTTCCCAGACCCACACTGCCAGCAGAGCTGCTGTTGAGGTCCAGCCAAAAACCTAAAGCCGCCTTCCGCAGCTGGGGAGCGCGCAGCTCCCGTCCTCCCTCCCCAACACCCGTCTGCAGCTGCCTCTCCCGACACTGAAGGGCGCTCTCTGAAGCCCCGGCTGCTGCGGTGCTGCTGGAGGATGACAGAAGGGATCAGAAACCACCATGCAGCTCCCACAGAGCCTGTGTGTGACCGCACGTACCCGGGGCTAACCCCATGGGAACGCCTTGGTGGAACGGGGCTCTGCAGGTCAGCTCCAGGATGGAGTGTCATCCTTCCAGGAGGTTCTTCAGCTGGGAGGAAGCTGCCTTAGTGGCCGTTTCCTTCAAGTCTCCCTTTTTCCCAGTAGCCAGATGTTCCCCAGCAGCTTCCAAAGGGACAGGAGCTGCAGGTTTCTCATTGCTTCTTACCCAGCAGTTCAACCCGTTAACCCACTTCTTCCCTCATGTCCCGCCTCTGTGATGATGATGGGGGGAGCAGAACGTGAAGGCAAAGGACAAGGTTTGGTTGAAAGGGGTTAGAGCGTGGTGGACCACTGCAGGAAGAGACAAGTGATGGAGAGAGCCTGGGGGAAGGACAGGGAGCAGGAGAGGAGGAGGATGGGACAGGGGAAGGCTGCATTTTACACTCCACTGCTCTGCTAACCCTGTAACCAGAGACACTCCGGCCTGGACAGGACAGACAGCTGGAGGTTAGCAAGCACCTTCTCCTCCCCCAGCCAGGGGACAGCAGGGGGGAGGCAGCTGGGGAGCCCTGCCTGTCCCAAAACCCCAGCCGCCCCATGCCATCAAAGCACCATCGATCCTGGGAGCAGCCCACGTGCGGCTGTGCCCTGGCGCTGTCTGCCTCCAGCCCCTCAGCTCCCCTCACTGGGGCACAGAGAACAGAGCAGGATCAGTCCTGAGCCAGGCTTTCACTGGGCTCTGCAGGATCAAGGTCCTGCCATTCTGGACAGGCTGAGTTTCAGCATCACCCACGCCATGGTGCAATGGGGTGGGAGGTGATGGTACATGCTTCCTGCATGGGGGCTGCACTGTGTGTGGTCCAGGAGATCCCATCCCTGTGGTTCTTGTGGGGTAAAGGCTTCTCCCCATCCAATCCCACTCTGCTGGACTTAACCCACCTACAGCACCCCGTGTCCCACATCAGGGCAAGTTCCTTTCCTGGTTCAGAGAGGATGGTGTCCTGGGTGTTCCCAGGCATCATCTCCAACCCCTGTAGGCTGCAGTGGTTTAGGACAGGCGAGAAGATCAGGTTTAGGAAGAGATCTCCCTTCAGAGATGCTGTGCCACAGAGAAGAGTCAAAAAGGACATGTTTTTCCCACTGACACCCCAGAGGTAAACATAAAAGGGTAGTGGACAACACTGGGACCACTGCTGTGACTTGAACTGAATTTGGAGCTTGACTTCATCTCTAGCCCAAAAGATGTTGGGGGCAAACTCTTTCTGGACATCCGTGAAGAGGGAAAATGACCTTTTTTGGTAAAAAAATAATTAATTAATTGTTAGTTAATAAACGTGTCTGCCCTAGCTCACCCTGGTCATGTCCACAGCATGATTTGGGGCCAGAGCAGAGCATGACACCAGTGCTGGTCACACCAGCATCCCAGGCTGCAGCCTTTGGTGAACAGGTCTCCATGAGACCATCCTTTTTATTGTTGTTTCCAAACTCAAAGTACTTGCTCCAGGGAGCAGCTGGGAATAGCCACATGGGCAGGCTCACGGAGGGACCTTGCATGGCATTCCCTGGCATGGGAACCACAGCAGCTTCTCTCTTAGTCTGACACCCACTGAGTGAGAATCTGACAGAGGAGCCAATGCTTCTCCTATGCAGGGAGGTAGCTGAAGAACTGAACAAGAGGGAAGCTTTGCACTTTGTTCCTTGAATAGAATCTGCAGACAAACTTGGTCGGAAATCATCCACCAAAGAGAGGTTTCCAAGGCATAATCAGATTTTCAACTGAACGCATGCTTTTCATTAAAACATCTGCTTCCAGAGGAAATTTTAAGTGTTTCATCTGGAAAAAGAAAAAGCATTGAATTCAAAAATGCCACTGCGATCATCTCAGAGCAAAGGGAAAGCTGGGTAGACCCTGCCATGCAGCTGAAGAGAGCAAACCCAAAACACCTGAAGCACAGACAGCCCCTTGCTGTCCTCACTGATAGGCAGATTGTCATTTTTTCACCCAAATGTTCAAACACCCCAAAAAACAGAAGTCCCAAATGTTGTGGACCTGGCAACGTTGATAGAGGTGGAACCAGGGGAGTCCTGTTTGTTGTTCCTATACATGAGGTCCCACTGCAGGAACATCTGAAGACGTAGCAGCATGGAAATGAGCAAGGCTTGGGGCATCCAGGGAGAGGGAATCGATCACCATCCCAGCTCAACCATCACACATGACTGGGACTGGTGCTGAGGTCCCACATCCTCTGCTCCCAACTCATCAAAAGCTCCCTGTTAAGTTCAACCCCAAAGCCTGGCAGGGAGCCTGTGACATGGACCAGGAGGACAACCTGAGGCTTGGCCAGGACACGGGGATGCTGCTCCAATCGACATCCCCATCGGCCGCCCCAGCAACGCCAGGTTGGACGCCGTGAGATGCGGTTTGCATGGAGTTATTGTTCCATGGGAAACTGGCTGTCTTCCTGCTCTTCATCTGTCAGCAGGATTTTCAGAGAATATGCTCCCAAATATGAAGTGAATGTGGCAGGCTGGGCTGGAGCCCTTTGCTAGAAAACCTGGACCTCAGAGTGTGTCCGGTTTAATCCCAGAGTCTGTGAGAATCAGTGTAAAGTAGCATATCAAGTGAACTTTTCACTCTGTGGCAGGAGGGATTACCACATCCCCTTTGTTTGTTGTGCACTGCGTAACCAAAAACACTTTAACCCTTTCTTGCAGCCCCGCGGCACTAAGTACCCATGAAAATTCCTAGGAAAACTGCAGCTGTTCCGCTCTCCGCTGGGTGGGGGGAGATGGGTGCACATGGTTTTCCATGCTGTCTCAGCTAGGGAAATGGGCCCTGCTTTAAAATGCATCACCACGAGCTCCTTGTGAGG